AGTTCGGTGATAAGAGTCGCCTCACCGTAGCGTAGGCTAAATGCACCGTTACAGATATGATTCTACCCCCTTGGATTCGCAATGGTGATGACGGTGGTGGTTGCCAATGAGGTTTTAGGTTTGCGAAGCATGCGAAACCTTCGACTTGTATTGTGACTTACAGAGTTTGCGACTGTTCTGCTGACAAACTGAGGTCCAATGGCGGACACCGACACACTACACAGCACACGGCGCGGCACTCCTGCCTGCCTCGCGTTCGCAGCGGCAGCCCAACTCAACTCTCAACTGTTGCAGGATGGGGATGGGGTAGGTCGGTCGCTACTCGTCACTTGCTAGTGCCAGCCCCCTCCCTCCCCCGCCCCTCCTCGATCTCCCCTCCCTCCCGGAGGGGCTCGCTTTCCGCCCGGCTCGGTGCTGCAGCAGTGCGGTACGAGGAGGGGGGGGGGGTCGCAACGAAAACATGTTAATATTCCCTTTAGGCTACCAGAACTTGTCAAGATACCCCTGTTGGACAAAAAAGGTGGTACTTTTTAATCCCATATTGATACGCATTATTGCCGCATTTCAGACGCATTTTTGTTTCCGCATTTGGCGCTGACAGCTACCGTTGCTCCCTTCCGTTCTCTTCTCTGCAGACGATCAAGAATGCAGACGCTTGGGGCCGTTCACGAAGTACGTTGGAGCGTTTTTTGGCCCCCACCCCCTGAATCACACAAAACATCAGATCACATGCAGGCCTACCCCACCCCCCACCCCCACATGGTGGACGAGCCGGACCCCCTCGCGGACGCCGCCGCGGACTTTATCATCCCCATGGACGTGCTGAGCTCCATGATCCCCCCGCCGCGGCCCCATCGCCGGCTGCACCGCCCGCACCGCTTCTCGCCGCTGCACCTCGGGGCGGACGCCGACGCGCCCCAGCTGGCCAGGAAGGCCCGGCAGCACGACGACGCGGTGGCCGCCCAGCCCGCGCAGGCCGCGCAGGCCCAGGTCGCCGCCCACGGGCCGTACCCGCACCACCACCCGCACCTGCCGCCGGCCATGGATTACCTCATCCCCAAGATCGGAGAGACGGAGGCCGAGAAGGCCGAGCGCGAGCAGAAGGCGGTCCAGAGGATGATCCGGGTCGTCAACGTCCTCGGCAGCTTGCAGAACTTCTTGTCCGGCAGGGCGAAGACGATCGTGCGCAGGCTGAGCAAAATAGTAGACGAGGAAGAGGGGGAGAAACTGACGCGAGTGAACACTTTGTGATTACTAGTCGTCTGAAAATAAATATAAAGCTGGGTGCTTTAAAATGTATTTGTATTGACCAACGTGAGTGTGTGCAGTTGTAAATAAATGTCCTTTTTTAATGACGACTTTCTCTTAATTGCTATACACACCTTGACTTAAATTTAGAACGTCTACTCAAACACGTAGTAGCAATACTCACATGAAATAAAAAGGACCTCAATCTTGACCTTAAAACCAACACACCGTAGGCAGTACGGCCAGAATAATAATCTAGACAGTTACGGACCGTAGTGAGGAAGCAAGGGAGGGTAGTCTCTTGGAGGAAGCATCTGCCATCTCTGCCATTTAACCCGAAAATTGATCGTAACCGAGAGGGAGGGGGAGAGGCGGTTGGGATTGCAGTCTGCACCACTGACGATTGCCATGGGTTTCTAAGACTAAATACTTGTAAGAAGCCTTAGCACAATCAAAGTTCAATTGTCGTCACGTCAGTCAGGACTCGCCACTGTGCTCAGCACTGCTTCCCTCTCCTTCTGGCCACATTACACATATACGGTCAATAATCACGATCAGGTCCCCCACTAATAGTTGTGTCTGGGGACTGGGAGCAGGAGACAATTGTCTCCTGCTGGGAGAGCCGCGGTGTAGGCAGCCCATCGCACACGTGCGCCGGGCGGGTCGGTGGCACAGCTGCGCTCCTCGCTGTACTTCGTATACGTCGTGAGCGTCGTTGGACGCGTTGGACTAGTTTTCCATCGGTGATGGCGCTGGCGGCGTGAACCGGATCAAGTCCTCAGTTTTAATGTTCTCCACTAACAAAGGGACTTAGGCAAGTGTAAATTCCCGATCGTGCCCAAACTCGGTATATTTGCTTCTTATCTATCTAGGTGAGGAATGCCGACCATATTTTTTCCTAAGTGTCATATCATATGCCGGAACTCCCTATAAAACCGTATAATTTCGGAAAATACAAATTTCTACTTTTGTACAAATATGAGGTGCTCTGACTCAAAATGAGCGGGGGGGGGGGGGGGGGGTAGTTCCTCTACCACTTTTCGATTTGAGACATCCTTCCGTCATTTTTGGCCCAAATTCAATATTTTTTTATTATTTGCTCCCCTAAACTACCCTAGAAATTGACACTCAGGAAAAAATTCTATCATCAGTCGTCATCAACATACACAAGAAACAAATATACCGAGTTCGGGCAAGATCGGGAATTTACACTTGCCAAAGTCCCCTTTAAGATGACCTGTGACCCCACCCACATATATATATATTTCTTGTGAAAGGAGGTAACAAACAGAATTGGGTCCGCAAATAAGTTTATTAGACAGTCCCCAAGACTCTCTGTAGAGGGGGAAAACGTGCCCCTCCCCCCTCTCGACCGGCCGCGGGCGGGGACGCTCCGATGTTTTTAGCAGATGATACATTTAACTTTAAAATAATTTAATTTACACTAACACTTTAATGTGTCAGAATGCTTGTACTCTCGTGTTTCGAGTAGGGAGGCATAGGGCAGATTAATTATAGGGGGCCAAAAGTGTAGCTGGCGTGTCGTGCCCCACCAAGTGATGCCATTCTTGTATAGCACCAGCCAACCAGGCTGACTCTAAACATACTTTTTTTTTTTTTTTTTTTTCAAAAGGTGGCTAATTTCCCCCAAATTATAAAATATAGCTTTTGTTCAAATGAATGTAAGACAAATTATTTTAAAAATGAAGTCGTCTGAGTCTGAAATGGCGTTATACATTCAATTAAATTAATAACTAACAAATAGTTCAGACACTCTAAAAATGAAATCCTTGATACTCTGGACTTTTTTCTTTTACGATATACTTAGTATACTTGTCTCCCTGAGTGAGGTTTCTATCCACCACAAAATGCGGCCCCCAGTGAGGGGTAGTGATTCCAATTATCAAAACAATTTAAAATTCTGGCATTACCTTTATTTGAGATTTTTTTTTAATGTACCAATAAACTGCATCTCAATAAGAATTTTAAATCCACAGATGGGGGTGGGGTGTAGAAGAAATACCCCACCCCGATTTCAAAAGCAACAACTTTTATAGGGCATGCAACAACACAAAATTCTTGCAGATGACTCATCTGCCTTTCTTCATTAAAACAAATTCAACAGTAGATCTATTAATCCACAAGAACAAAGAGTAAAGTCCACTTATAAAAACTACACAATCTTTAACTGCCATTCCATGAATCCCACGGCCTTCAATTCACCTTGGGAAACTGCAATGTGGCGAACTTCAGCGAGAAGGTCACATAATTCTTTCTTCAGCTACAAGAAAACACAGATTTAAAATTACGCAATTAGACTGGCATGGGACAATTATATCTAAAAAAAGGTGCTGCTCTTGTACACATCTTTTGCTTTTGTGGCTAGTTGCACCATTGCATTGAGACAGTTAGCATTGTTCTAAAAATTATTTATCACAAATTTGTCCTAAGCAACTGTAGACTTCAAAAACGTTCCCTTCTTCTGACAAAGTTGTCATATTCTACTGTGAAATTGGAAGTTGTTTGTATATTGTGAACTTAGTTCTAAATGGGCAACCCGCTGTACCACCGAATGAGCTTCAGTGCTTGAAGAAATGCACAGAAAAGGTGACACGGTGTTACATTAACGTTATTTGAGGTTTTCAATTATAACATAAACTTTTGCTGGAGCATTTTGACAAAGGGTCCACAACTTCAGATATGCACGGTTCAAGCAAAAATGATAACTTTTCAACATTATTTCAGTAAATTCACTAGTGTTCACAATTACTCATTGTTAATATTCCACACTATCAATGATGAAGCTAAGAGTTATTGAGAATATTTAGTGACATTTCACGAGTTTATAGTATTCATACACATTTCCTAATATTCAAGAATATCCAACTTTTGAATATATTCAGAGTCCACAAATTATGCGGACCCCTCACCCTGTGAAGATAAGATGTAAATTTGAATTATTCCATTTATTTTGTACATTATACTAGAATAATTTGCAGCATAATTCCAAATTTGTAACTTAAACT